GTGAAGGGCACAAAAACCATCGAATGTCTGAAACAATAAACATATAAGTAAATGTAGTTTATAAATAAGGCCATCTTCTTTTAAAGCAAAATATATGAACCTGTTTGTTCGGAATGTAGCATCAAAAGATATTACATTTCCAAATTCAGAATAATTGAATCGAGCTACTTCATCAACCCAGAAGATAGTATGCAACTTGCTACCAACACAATTGTACTCGAAAAAGAAATTATGATCAACATCCCTCTTCTTTGTCATCAAATCAATCAACACCTTTGCATCACCACGACCGACAAAATTGTCACAGTCCCTCTTATAATTTTGATAATCGACAACCGTTGGTTCACCGTATTCGTACCCTCCTCTTAGAGATGTATGCAACTTATGCGCTCGTGTGGCACCCATATTTGAGATTCCGGCATCATGAACAAATCGCTGATCTGAAAATTTCATTTGGCGTCCTTTTCTTGTCAAATCCATATCATCATGTCTCAAAAGTGAATGGTTGTGATCCTCTTCGAAACCGTAACACTCATATGTTGTTGTTCCTTTCATCAATCGGAACTTAACACTTGCTGTACACCCTGTCCTTTTTATATTGGAGTTCCGCATTTCTCTTTGATGTTTATGGCATACCATTGAATCAAACGACTTTTTCAATGGCAAACCAAATCTACTACATACGAAGTATTTATTATGTATTACACCATCAGGATTAATCTTTTGGGTTGATCGCCATACCTCAAAACCAGCCGACTCAGCATATTTTTGGTATATCGATTCTGCTACATCCAATGACGGATACACAGATCCTATAACGGGCTTGATAACTTCTTCGACTACTGGAGTATACCAATTAGTACCACCTGGTGATATTGATAAACCCTGTCCTGCTTGATCAATAGCTGTAAACATGAATTCAAATAGATTATGATCAACAATAAATGTACCACAATGTAGCAATATAATGTCTTTATATACACAGTACCACAAGAAGATACACATAATTGTAGATATTAAAGATTTTCAGAATCAAAACAAGAAGATAAAACCAAGACAGAGTAGACAGTAAGAAGTATTCTGAAAACATGGATTCAAACATATACAAGGAACATTTAATAATGTATCACAAGTTTGCATATCAATATATTATCTTTATATACACAGTACCACAACCATGCCTAAATCATTGATACATACAGAGGCATTACAGGTTCTAATACAACAAAATACATCTATAATTAATAGATATAAAAAACCAGATATTAAAGAATTCAATAATCACACCAGGAAGATATTAAAGAATTCAAATCAGGAAACTAATTTGGGTAACACACTGTGATACAAATCAGGTTGATCACATTATATTGTAGAATTAAACGTAGTTTTCAACAGCTGTATGAAACAAAAACCTGGACTTTCATCATTCTGAATCTCATTGTTCGATGTGTAGCCTGTTGTATCATCAATTACATGAGTTTCAATATCATCTACCAAACCGATTTCTTCACAGTTTCATTGGACATCTGTAAATGGAGAAAGTCCAACATCAAATTCTTCACTAGCCTCCCAGGTCACAACCTCCATAACATCTACATTTTCTTCATGAGAGTTGACATATACTCTATCTTCATCAGAATTGACATGAATTGAAGAATTAATAGGATTTTTACCATTGTTCGTCATTACGTTTTCAATCTCCAGGATGAATTTTTTGCAGGGAAAATTATTGATTTCACATTCTTAAATAGTTATGTATACAATCTTCAACAAATATGTGTGATTTCATGTGATTCATCAGAATCATGAACATGTTTACATAAACCGATTAGTTTTTTTGAAATTATTTCACTAAATCATATTAATATTTTATTTTAGGAATGTAAATCAATATTAAGTTTATTTTATTTGAAACGGTTGTATTTAAAAATTAAAATTAAAATTAGGAATTGACTAACATACCCTTTTAATTTGAATTTAATTGTATAATTAATATTTTAAAATGATTGGTTGAGATTGGTTCTCACAGTTACCACAAACAACTCAGTTCT